GACCAAGCCTCTATGTAACGAAGTAGGGGGACTAAGAAGTTAATTGGAATGAAACAGAAACATATACTCTCACTTATATCAGAAGATTAGAGTCCTGACTGAAGCTTGGCTATCGCGTGACATCGAAGGCGGGAAAGCGAGACAACAAGGTGCAACACTTTTCCGGTGCGGGGAAGTACAGGAAACAGGAATTGGGGTGACGATATACATTAACAGACATTTTAAAGCCGTAACACTATGAAATGCCTAACTAAGCAGTGCAACAAAATCATGTTGATGCTACTTCAGAAGAGAATGGCACGGAATACTTCATTGGATTATTGCAGCCCAGAAAGAAAACGTGTTCGATGCGATAAAGAAACTATTCCATTTCTGTTAACCAAGCACTCCTAACTTGAAAGTTTAGCAACCCCCCTAAATCTAAACGTACAGAGTGAAACTCCCACAAGGGGATTTCCAATGCTGCATGTCATAGAAGTCAGAAGTTCGGGAGTGAACGAACATGCATGGAGCTTCTTAAATAAGCCTCGTGGCAGTGAGAGCGGTGGAGGCTAACAGTATATAATCATTAGGGAATGGCGAGAAGCCTCTTTCATGACGCTTTCCAACACAATTTACTTCAGACAAAACAGAGAAGCTAGTACATATGGACTGCCTTTCTGAAGGATTCTTACCATAGTTATTACTTAGTATTGTGAAACAGATGCAACGTAAAAGTTCAAAGCGATGGAGACACTAACAGACAAGGGTAGTGGCCAAAATACAGGCACACTCGAGGTATCTTTTTGGGTTCATGACTAAAAGAAATGCTACAAACAATTGATTGACTCTGAAAAGTTGGAATTGCGAAGATCTTAAGAATTTATAAATCTTTGATGTCAATTTTACCGACCTCGTAAATCAAACACCTGCAAGCTCAAAGCACTACTCAACTACAGTGCTATTTAATGGTTTGGGGTATGTCCGATTTGCTTCAGGCTAAATACTGAGAAAACTGAAATTACTGTGCTTGAGAAAGTCATCAGGATATGGACATATCCGTCCTTTCATCGCGAAACAGTGTACGGAAACCCTAGCTTCGACGTTTTGTGACTAGCTCATACATTCACTCAAGTTCAAAAAACTTACAGCAGTATGTAACAAGCTACTCACACTGCAATATTCAGGGCAGGAGATGATAAAGATACAGACCAATCTCATCACTACCAATGATATCGAAGAAGATAGGAGGACTGGCGAATGATTTAGTGAAGGAGTAAATGGACAATGCCAGCATTTTCCATGAAACCGAATGAGGGTTCATGCAAGTTAGGTCATCCTCACCCAATTGAATCACTGCACCGAACTGGTGGACAACCTACTGACTCCAAAAAAACAGGTCCATATGATATTCCTTGACTTTGCTTAAGCTACTCACGAATTCCTGCACTTACTCCGAATAGCAAAGTTTGCGAAGATGGGCTTCACTGACCCACTTCTGTCTTGACTCAAAAACTACTTTTAGAATAGAAAGTTTCATATCATGGTAAATGTAATGTATTCAAGCTGTTGAGTTTCAATATATCGGGCTTCATAGGGGACCATCTTAGGTCGCCTTCCCTTCACGTTCTTACTAATAACCAGTTAGGTAAAATCAGCCCATCAGTACCAATCTATTCAGACGGCGCAAAGATCTGGAGGGCCATAAGAAGTGAACAGGATTAATAATTGTTATGGAGATTAGTGTTTGTACACATTGAAATCACCGATCAATCATTGTCAGAAATATCGTAAAACGTGCTCACTAGTGACTTGCTTCGTTAGGAGATTCTCGGAGTTCTCATGAGAAGATATGACCAGTGGAGTTCAACCATGTCGAATCTTGGCAGTTACTACCGAGACAAATGAGTGAGGTCACGTAAAAATCTCTGGATTGATCCAGTTAGACATTAACACCGTTAGATGCCGGCCCAGCACTGTTGACGAGTCTCATACTATGCTGAAATGGCCTTCGAGTGTTTCAAGGTTTCTAATGGTGGTTTAACGATAACTCATTGATGATTTCAATGTGTAGAAGAGGATTCAACTGAGCTTCAAAATGACCTTACAACAATGGAGAAATCGGCAGTGCACAAAGGGTTGAAACTTAACCAGTTGAAAAATCACGTCATGAACATTTTGCCCCACAAAACACAAACAGCTTACATCCTTAATAGAAGTTCATTCCCAAATGTCTCCTCATAGTGCTGTCTTGGTCTAATAACTACAGGGTGCATGAACACGCTTTCAAACCACATAGCTGACGCAGCCAGAACTAACGAAGCGCTTCTCTTCTCAGATCACGTACTTTCTCTATCCCGCTTATTTTCATCTCCGTTTCGCCTTTGATCCTTACGCTTCGGTCCTTTCATACTATCTGCATTACCAATTAATTAAATCACTTACACATCTACTTGTTAACTGAAACATTTGTCTTCTTTGATTTTTCTTTTGATTCTTCTACGTATTGTAACAAATTGATTTCAGGCCTAGTAATGTGTCAGATTCTATTATCCAGAAACCCTACTATCCTGAAACAAACCCACTCAAATCAAATGTCATACAAATTCATTAACAACTGCCAACTGACTAGAACTGGTGCTGTGAGTGGCTAGACTGTGTTCATTTGGAAATTACGAAATACACGGAACCGGACCGAAAGAACAAGAATCGAACGCAAAGAAATCAGTCGGCTTATACTAGCTCATGAAAAAGATATTGGCTATTGAACATTAGATATTGTTTACCACTGCTATGTCGTTCAAAGTGTTGCAGCTTAAAATTTTTCGCTGTTACTGCAGATGTCCGTTTCCTATCACAGAGTAAGTTTAGGGTTTAGATAGACATAAGAAATGATTATTAACCTACGTAAAGCCTTGAACTAAGATTAAACTTTGTTAATATTTTCTCACTGGTCAAAGTTATCCGAAAGAATTGAGTTGCTCGTTCTAATCATTTTAGCCAACATATTTGCGTCAGAGAAAGTAGAAAAAACAGGCTAGACAGTTCTGAAGTGGAAAAATAATTCAATTTTTTTCCAAATTTTCTTAACGTTTTGGTTGTTCTCACGTTTTGTTCTCTAGTTAACCGTTTTTCGGCTCTCTGTGTCCACCACCAGTTTCTAAGAAATTTTGACGCGAATGGCCTTAGAAATCCTATTTATTCTTATTAACTAGTAAACGTTGTCACTGCTTCTCACCATTTTCGATGTTATGACTCTCAGTTTCACAGATTAGCGTTTTGAATGCTGCATTTTTTAATATGAAGCTTGTTATGTACTGTTAATTTTAAGTTCTGCTTAAATATGTTGTCTCAAAGTTAATGGTTCTTTAATCGTACACCACATACCGTTCAAAGAACCTGATCATTATTCCTTTGTTGTATCATTGCTTACTGTGGATCAATATTTTGTTAGTCTATTATGTCATTTGTTAGGTTTAATTGCTTACTCGGGGAATGAGTTAGTTAAATCAACACACTCGTCTAATCAGTGAACAAATGTAAAAATTCAATGTTTTCTCACCTCGTCCGCTTCACAATTTTCAAACCTTTCGACCAAATGTAACGATCTTTCAGTGATATTACGTGCACCTACTTGATTTATATCCTTCTTGATGGTGTTATTAAACAGCCCAGAAGTGCATTGTATACACGAATTATCAAGATGTGAAGTATGAAATAAAATAATAATTGATTCACTATATTCTTGGTTCTGAACCCCACTAACTATGAGGGCTAATGACACTACTCGGTTGCACAAACTTGGCACTTAATGTTTGGAAGTTATACCTCTTAAGCTCTAACTGGATGCATAGGTGTCGTGATGGAAGCAATGTGGTCAGTCAGTTACAACACAGAACTTTGTACGTACGTACATCAGTTCAAGTCGCCAAACCACACTAGCACAGAAATGCAGTTGTTGATTCAAATCCCATATTAGTAGAGGTAGTAGATGTATTAACAGTATTCAAAAAGATTAGTGATCGAATATATCATTCGAGATGTATACCCCAGAGGAATCAATTAAAAAAGAAAATCAATTATTTAAACAAGATCAAGACAAACCTTGGTCATCACTTCTTCAGTCTAAGCTCTAAAATTACTGAAATGGCTTTCTGCGTAGACTTTGTTTTTGTTCATACTTTTAGATTGAGACTTCTAATACATATATGATATACAGCTAGTTTGGGTAGTGATGGTTATAAAATTTGGTCCGTTTGATGTCAGGTCTGCTACGTAAATCAACAGAAAACATGTTTGTTGTACCTGTTGATTTTACAGTTACTTTCTATCACTTTCAAACAGAAAGATATTACCGTTAAAATGTTGTTTGCTCAGGAGGAACATGTTAGTTCACATCTTTTTTTACTATTTCAGTCAGTCAGTTGCAACGTAGAACTTCGTACGTAAGTACATCAGTTCATGTCGCCATACCACATCAGCACAGAGATGTAATTGTCAATTCAAACCCATTAGTAGAAGAGTTAGTAAGGGTATTAGAAGTAATCGGAGAGGTTAGGATGAGAAGATATTATTCAAGAAGTATGATTTAATGAGAAAAGTTTAGAAAGTCAAAACTAGAGGTGTTGAAGAATCCAGAAGATTAGGATTTGAGAGAACACAAAGAATAAATGCACCGGCGCCATTGCGAACGATTTTGAGCCATGTCATTCATTTACTATTTCAACATATGTGTTTACGTATCTGACAATCTTACCACGATATCTGTTTTGTGGCTGTTAATCATATCGTTACCGACGAGGTTTATTTTCTATGGTTGACCAAAAAACCTAGGTTAGCTTTTGTCTTAACTTCAGCCATGTTACATTATTTTTTTCTTAATTATGCCGTTTTTTCTTGTACTTTAGTTTTTCTTCATTTTATGATAATTTCAACTGTTATCCGGAACAAATATAATCCCAAATAAAAATGACGCATAATTTTTAGTCAGTGCTGGTAGCGGCGTAAATTCGTGCTTAAAAATGATTCGAACTTTTTTATCACGACGAATTTGCTTCGGTTTAATTTTGTTACTCGCCTTTGGGTCAGTATTCCTATATGTCCATATCTGCCGCTCACAAGATATCCCAATTTTTCTACATATGCTTCCTCATAATGTGACAGGTTCAGAAAATCTTGTAAGTTTTGATGCTCGTAAATTCGATTTTTAACCTGAAATTTGTTATTTAAGCTTCCTAAAATCGTATCACCTAGGTTAGCTTTTATGAAGTAGATGTTACCACTTTAGACTGGCTCTAATATGTGTATTGTAATAACGTTTATTTATTAACGACAGCTAGGCAAACTAGCTTCACCATGTGTTGGCTTTCAGTCGAGTGGTCACAAGTATATTTCACGTAAAGTCTAAAAAACTTGGGACTGTTATTTTTTTGGTGCTAAGAAAGTGCCACGGTTCAAAACCCCAATACACTCTAAATCCTTCTACATGGATTCTGTTTTGTACTTTCCAGGTTGTGTCACAACGACAAGAATGTCCTAAGAAAAGCCCTCAGGCTGGTAGGTTTGATCTTTAGTTTTCTCTTTGTTTTATTTTAAAGCAAGCTTCTAATCAGCATAACTGTGGCACTAATAAGAATTATTGTATCATAATCGGAGCTAGCTTTTAACTTCCCTTGACAACACTGATACAAAGCTCGAAACCTTTATACGGTAGGGTTATGGCAACAGTCTTTCAAACAGCAGTTCAAACATAGCAGTCCATCAGTCATAAACAACGCGAAAGCTGGTACAATTATATCGGTTTAAGCTAACACCACTTCAGCTCAACGGCACACTTGTGTAATTAGTAATAATATTGGTAGTAATAAAAAGGTTAGACAAAATATATGGATAAAGTTCATTCTACTCTGACACTAGACATGATCAAAATCCAGATAGACGGTGGTCAGTTATATAATCGTGTCCCAACCTCATCAGTCGATGAATATTTACAAACTCATCGACCAGTTTGTCATCCTTGTGTAGTACCTTGCGTCTAACCACGACACCACTAATTTGATGATCCCAATATACACGAGCAATGCAACGTGTGTGATCAGATACTAGTAACTTACCAATATCCTCTATTTTTAAAGATCGCATCTCATAGCCATAACGTAAAATAGAGTGAACTGCTGCTCGGTATACTTATTAGTGGACGGGCATCTCGCCTACTCCACAACTGAAAAAGCCAGTAAGGCTTTCTAAATTCATGCTAAGATTTCTTCCTATACTTACTAAGGTTAGTAAAACTCCTATTATAAGTACAGTGGTCGATGCGTTTAGCAACTTCCCTCCCAATCATTAGTTCAGGGGTTGAAGTAGACTAGGTTCCGAGGAACATTTACGGGAAAAAACGCATCTCAAATATCAGAGAAAATCTAAATTACTATTGGAAAGAAAACGGTTAGTTAGAGTGAAGATCATTGATCCCCGTCGATTGATTTTATTTTCTATCGACTTTCTGTGCTATTTATGAATATGATATCTTGAACCGTTAAAATCTAAGTTTCTACCTTGTACCTTTCTTGTAACTGCATTGTCAAACTAGTCTCATCGGCACCAGATATCATATCCTCAAAGATAAATAGGATATCCTGCCAATTCTACATACACTTTAATCATGAATTTTAATCTTCTCCATTTATATTTCTAGAACTCAATTGAGAGTGATTTGCTGAAAGTTTATAGACCTAGATACGTATCTAGTTTATTGTATTGTTAGGCATCGTATACTCTAAATGCGATTTCGATACTTCAGCTGGATTTTTTAGGTGTCCAAAAGTCGTTCATATTTCTTATCTTATCCGCTGAATTTCATGTATGCTATTACTTATTTGGAATAACCTGTTCTCCCTTTCATGATTGACAGTATTGCTGTTCCCTGATATTTAATGTGGAACGAGTGTCTAGTTTATCACGATTTCGCTTTAATTTGTTTGTCGCCTTAGATTTTTGCATAATTTATAAAAATCCATCCTTTTGTTATCACTAGTTGGGCGTTTAAAAATCGAGACTAAAGTACCTACTTGGATTTCTTTAATCGAGAAATATACATCATCATCCCTTCAGAGTAAAGTCATTCTTTCGAAAGATGGCAACTACTCATCTCCCCATATGAATTGTGTGGGGATTCACAATGGGTCTCTTAATTCCCCCAATAATACTGATTTATCAAAAAAATGCATCGGATTGTGGCGTCCAGTTATATGCGATCCAACTGAAAAACTGGCTGTTATTGTTCCGTACCGAAATCGAGATATTCATTTGCGTATATTTTTAGAACATATGCATGCCTTTCTACGAAACCAGCTGCTTATGTATACCATTTTCGTTATAAATCAAGTTAGTTATAACTTTTAGACATGGTGTTGGTTACCTTTTTAACTCTTGGTAGTTCTCAGAACTTTTGGCTACTTTTTATCTTTCAGCCAATGTTATCATGACCGTACTTTTGAGTCATTTGAGCGCACATTTAGCCTCAAGTTGGAACTACACTAAAGGTCATGGTTACTGTGTAAACTACATTTACCAAATATATCTAATGTTATTCATGATATATGAGTTCGTTTCCTTGTTCTTTAAGCTACTTCTATAAGGTTTAATTATAATTATACTCATCTGCCCAGTCTGAAGTAAATGGAGTAAGTATTATACTTTTTACTCGATGGTTAACACTCGAGAGTAACCACTTAGCCATGAATCTGAGATTTTACTCTTCTTGCCTCTAAAGTGAGCTCGCACAGCGATTGAACCGTAGATTATGTAAATGTACAGCAAAATTGATGAGAAAAAACAAACTGGGTTTTCCTAAAATCAATATTTAAGATTTTGGCACCAAAGATGTCTTCACGTTTTGTTGAATAAATTTTACTCATTTTATGTCTTTTTTATTGGGCTACGGTGGGTTTAGTATCCTTACAACATCGTAGTTGATTTCTGTGAAAATATAGGGAGGTTTCCTTTAGACTATTTTGTGTCTGTTAACAAGTATAATAACATGCTACTTTTATCAACGCCAAACTGTGTAAATAAGTTAAATCTATCAATCTACGTCCATGGTGCTTACCAAGTAATCATTAAAGTAGTATGCTCTTTTATTTAGAGCTCAAACAATAATGGGGTTTCTTGATGTATGATCTACTTCACTCCTGATAAACATTCTTGGGAGATATTTCAAAACGAAATAACTGAAGATAATTAGTGTACTGTTTTTCACTGAAGGTTGTTTGCATACGTTATGTTATGAAAATTAATCATTAAATAACTAGAGTGGTGGTATTGCTGAACTAAATAGAAGGTCGGTTAAAATAATGTTCACATTTTCTAATTGTAAATACGTATTTAGGCTGGTACAACTCATTTTAATCGCGCTCTTCTTCTGAATGTTGGATTTATCGAGTCGAAGCGGGTTGCAAATTTCGACTGCTTCATATTTCATGATGTGGATTTATTACCTGAAGATGATCGAAATTCATATCGTTGTGCCAATCAACCGAAACACCTATCTGTTGCTGTGGACAAGTTTAACTACCGGTTAGTGCTTACATTTAAACTGCAAGACTTTTAAATAAACGAATCTTTCCATGTGGTAGCAGTATAATTTAGTTACCGAAATATTTTATTCAATACTTTAATCCAGTAAATTATATCATTTGATAATAATTTACACCGCTAACCAACTTCAAAACAAATCGAGTATATGTGTATCTATTACACCGTTTGACACTGTTTAGGGAGTTATCAGCCTTATGTTTGGTTACTGCGAATTATTGGGTTTCAGTTGTTTAAGAGACTAACTAGAATGTAGCTCATCGTCCGTCTTCATTTTAGCTATGAGCTACAAATGACTGAAGATAATAGGTAAACGGATTTGTGAATGACCCGAAATAGATCGTAATAATCCTACCTACACACGAGCTCCATTGACCAATGTGTTTCAGCAGGTGTAAAGATGATAATTAATACAATTACAGAAGCAACGATTCTTCAAAAACGACGTGTATACTAATTTAATAAATTGAAACATATATTTTCAAAAAAATCCATATGGATCACAGTCTACCGGATTTACTGTAGCATATATATATATATATATATGTATATGAACTACTTCGCTGTAACAAAATTCTTGTAGATATCTTTCGTTTTGAAGGACTCAACCAAGGTTTCAGTCTTTTCAAAATCTTTAACTATGATTCTCCTGCTGAAATACTGAAACGGGAGCTAAGAAAACTATGACCTATTTTACCACTGTCGAAATTAGAAGTAACGCAGACGTACCTGGTTTTCGGTTTTACATATGACTTTTCATAAACTAGGATTGAGAATGTCTTACTACGCGTGGTCTTTTCGCTGTATTTCTGGTGAAGCTTTCTAAAGATTCAAATCAACTTTGTTCATATAAATTTACAATTTTTTAGTCTTCCTTATCTTACGATTTTCGGCGGAGTTGTGGCATTCACCAAGGAACAGTTTATAAAGGTTGGTGGATTTTCAAATGTGTATTTCGGATGGGGTGGAGAAGATGATGATTTATACGCTAGAGTAGTTCATCATAATTACAGCATTATACGTTATCCTGAAGAAATTGCACGTTATAAAATGATAAGTCATAAGAAGGATCCGAATAATCCGGACAATCCTGAACGGTATGTTTTTCCCAATCTTCAGACTTGGGGATTTGTTTTTGTAATCTGAACTTGCTCACTGTTTTTTTCATCAAAGATAATTAAAATAATTTATTAAGTCCGGTAGGAAGAATTTAATTTTGACCAATTCGGTCTCACGTGTTGTTACGGGTATGAGGGCGGTTGTCACCTCCCGGCTGCCTACACCATGGAAGGTTGTTTCTTGAGAGACCTGAAAAAGAAGGTAGATTATGTTGGTCTTAGAGACCTGGGTGCGTGACCGCGGTGTCCAAGGGACAACTGCTTGAGGCCGGTCACGCACGGCCTTTTAGTGGACGCCCTTACTGACGGAGACGGAAATCCGTGAGGTAGGGTGAGGTGTGACATTTTTAGGGTCGACCTTTTCTAAATCTTCGTTCCTTGTGATAAGGCAGCATCGCTGCAGATGCTGGTTCTCCGAGGGAAACACCTTACTGCTGTCACACCCCTCTGCAGTCAGCAGTACGACTTCGCCCTCAGACCTTGAGTAGCTGCTTTTAGTCTCATCATTCTCCAGTCGACCTGCCTGGCATGTTAGATCCTTCAGGAACATACGTTCTAGCCAATATAGCTAGGTTGGGTCATCACGATAGGCAAGCCTGACCACGAGGTCAAGGTAGCAGCTTCAGTCGGGACTAAGTCCGGTCCCAAGCCTGAATAAAAGAGAAGGGTTGGGCATGAGGTTAGCGACCCCATCCCGTTTAAAATCAAATCGCTATGAAAACACTAACCAAAAAAATAATTCAAACCACTTAAACTCTGCCTTCGGAGTTGGAAGGTCTTTATTTAGAGGAGCTATGACACCTCGTGATGAAAGCCGAGTTTCTTTGGAAGGTCCGGGGCTGATGCCTCATCTGACAAACAGGGCGACCATTACTAAAGAAGCATGGAATGTTCGTACATTGTGGGAGACCAAGAGAGTTACCCAAGTTTATGCAGAAACAATAAGATACAACCTGATAGTACTTGCAATAAGTGAAACACACTGTACGCAGACTGGGCAACAAAGACTAGTTTCAGGAGAGATGCTATTATACTCCAACCACGAAGAAGAAAATGCCTCACATACACAAGGAGTTGTACTAATGCTGTACAAAGAAGCACAAAAAGCACTGATAGGACGTGCATCTCATGAATCCAGGATCATCAAAGCATTATTCGAAACAAGGAAAGAGGGGATTACAGTGAATATTGTCCTGTGCTATGAGCCTACCAGCAATAACAATGAAGACGATAAAGATCAATTCTATAGGAGGCAGCGGCGAATCGTTGAGAGGTGCTCACCAAAGGATCTGACCTTTCTGATGGAAGACATAAGCACCAAGTTCGGAATGGACAACACTGCATATGAAGACATTATGAAATGATATGGACTGGGAGAAAGGAAGGAAAACGATGAGATATTATCAAACCAATGTGCCTTCAACAAACTGATCATAGACGGAATCATATTCTCACACAAACGCCTACAAAAAGATACATCAGTTTCGCGGGATCACTCGACGGAGAACCAAATCGATCAAATCTGCATCACTATAGTGTTTAGAAGGACTATGGAGGACGTAGGGACAAAGAAGAAAGATGACATAACTTCAGACCATCACTTGATGGTGGCCAAGATGAAAGTGAAACTAAAGAAGCACTGGATAATGGGGCGGATAGCATAACAAAAGCCGAACACAGCATCTCTTCAGGCTACTGGCAATGTCGACGAATTCAATATGGCTTTCAGCATCAAGTTCGAAGCCTTTCATTGTCTACTAAATGGAGAGGAAACTACCATGAGGAACAATTGAAAAATTGTCAAAGAAGTAATAACTTCTGCATGTCCACAGGATCTTCGCCACAACAAGCAGGACTGGATTGCTAAGAGATTCTAGATAAGAAGAACAAGAAGACAGCTATCAATAACATCCGAATGAAAACAGAGAACGACAATGCACAAGCCAAGCACACCGAAGCGAACAGGTAAGTAAGGAGGAGCATTCGGAACGATAAACGCACATCTGTGAAAGATCTAGCAGTAATAGCAGAAAAATTCTCCAAGAGAAGGAAACATGAGACAACTATATGACGCAAGGAAAAAGCTAGTCAAGATACCAAAGAAAGGAGACTTCTGTAAATTTGAGAACCACGGAGACGTCACTCTACTCTCAACAACAGTAAAAGTCTTCAGCAGACCGTTGTAGACCGAATGAAAGATTCGGTAGACGCCCAACTTCGAGATCAATCGTGTGTCGCTCAAACTACGCATCATTGCTGACCAATCAGATGAATGGAACTCACCACTATGCATCTATCCCACACACAACGACAAATGTGGGTAAAGACGACAAGTGTATCAGCAACCTCTGCAGCAGTAGGTCTCAACGTACACTAGGGAAAAAGCAGGATTCTCCGATACAACCTAATATGTACCAAACAAGTCATACTTGACGGAGAAATTGTGGCAGCTGTGGAAACCTCCACAAAGCTGTACAGCATCATTGATAAACAAGGTGGATCTGACGCAGATGTGAATGGACGGATTAGCAAAGTAAAGACAGCATTTCTACTACTGAACAACATTTGGGACTCCAACTGTCAACCGACACCAAAGTCAGAATTTTCAGTGCCAACATCAAGACAGTGCTGTATGAAGTAGAAAACTGGAGTGTGGTGCGCGCTACTTATAAGTAGTATACGACGCGGGTAAAAACCTAATGTCTGGCAGCAGAAGATGGGGGAAGATCAAGAAAGGAAGAGCGGGAACACAATGGGTTTTGTATGGAACGCATAAACAGTGAAATGTCAGACAATGGATTGATGTTTTGCAACAGGAACAGTCCAGTTCGATATGATGGATTGATATTTTGCAAATTAACGATTTACGATATGGTTTTCCTATTTAACCAATTAACTCTGTAATTTGCGATAAATACAATTCGGTTACCCTCACCTGTGTTCTCCTTCACTACAGGAGAACCTCAAAAACCATTATCCAAAAGATCCAGGTGTTCATTAATAATTGTCTACTCATGATTCAACGTATCCGTTAGGCAGACAACATCAGCAACAAACGACTTAAGGAGAGAACAAAGCGAATCTTAGCTGAGGGAGAAGTGAGAAAGCACTGGGACTGATTAGTACACACATTAGTGAAAGCATCCACAAGGAAAGCCCTCACATGGAATCCTTGGAGTCAAAGAACACATTACTCTGAAAATTGGAAGCAGATGTTAAAGAATGAACAGCAATTAGGTAGAACTTAAAAGGACCTGGTCGGTGGCCTATACTCCGGTGGAAGTAACAGGCGTAAGTAAATGATTAGGTCCACAGTAATTAAAGTTATCATCCATCACTTTACATGTTCATGTGTAAATCATTTATTATTTGTTCGCTCACCGTAGCTGCAACCTTGACGTGGTGATCGGAACTGTCATCAGAATTGATTACTTCAAGTGGTGTTCGTCAGCGCTGTCCACTTTCTCTATTCTTGTTCAACTTCGTCATTGACGTGCTTTTAGAGACGACGCTTTCATCATCTTACTTTTCAGGAGTTGAACTTTTATCGCGAGATTTACCTGTCGACTTAGAATATGCCTGTGACATAGTTCTGGCTGTTGAAGACGCTGACAAAATACAGTCTTCTGACCACCTTGAGGAACAATGCAACCATGTTCCGGATGCGATTCTTCCCCTCGAAATGTAAAATGTTACTTCAGGATTGACTTTCATTAACCCCTGAATTGGTGATAGGGAGTGCGGTAGTGAGCGTGTTGATCGCTCTACTTGTCTTGGGAATTACATCAGTGCTGATGAAATCTCAGCACGGATACAAAAGGCTCGATTCGCTTTTCGCAACATGCGTCACTTATGGCGTAGGCGAGATGTCCGTTTGCTAACCAAAGGAAAAATCTACTGCACAGCAGTTCACTCCGTCCTACTCTATGGGTGTGAAACATGGCCAGTATGAGTAGAGGATATTTGTAGATTACTGGTATTCGATCATCAGTGTCTTTGAAGCATTGCTCCATTGTTCAGAAGAACAATGAAAGCTCCACAACCAAAACATCCAGCTCAGAGAACGAAACACCACCACAATCATCCACCTGAGCTATAAATTCTCTCCACCATCTCAAAAGCATTGCTCGTATATCCTAGAACAATCGAGTAAGTAGTGCTGGTGTTAGAAAAACGGTAGTAGGTAAGAATGGCAAATCAATTAATGAAGTAGTGAATGCTCATCCGACTGCTTTGTCGAGCAACGTTTGTGGTGTAGGAGTAGGTTGGAAGAAAGTTAGGGGCGGCCAAACCAAAACATGGCACTAATTCAATCCATAAAGTCACTGACAAATGGACTGGGTCATGTTGGTAAGTGCAGACTACGTGGTCATTGACCAAATGACTCACATCATATTTTTATGACAGTGTTTGTAAATCGACCAACTAATTAGTTGACACCAATATTGACAGATTATAGCTGACTGCAGCTGACTATGTTTAGTAGCATGCCCTGCAGTTGTGACCTACTAACCGGGCCCATATGTCATTGCAGCCAAACTACGCGAATTGCCAACATAAGATTCACTTGGCAGTTAGACTAATATTTGAATCATTTTTACAGAACGTCTTGTTTATTGATGACACTAAAGGGAAGTTTGATGTCATGTGATTATTAGTGTCATATAAGTATAAACCATTTAGACTGTTCTTTGCATCTGAAATATTAACGTTGTACTTAGTCAGTAGTATGTTTTAGTAATATTTCCATGGAGGTTTTATGAAAATGGTTAAATCCAGCCAATATAAACTATAGATATTTTACTGTACACTCTCTTCTGACTGAAATCCATTACTTTTATCGTTTTTAGGGTTTTACTTAAAGTTTTTTCCGAATTCTCATCGGTTATTAGGTACTGGTTATTCACCAAGTCATTTGATTGTAGTTAGTAGTCAATTATTCTTGTTAAGTCTAAGTAGATATTTTAAATGCAATGAGATTGTTAAAGTGTAAAGAGTTTTATGTTCGTAACAAGTTCATTCAATTCATCATACCGTTGTGGAGTAACTAAACTGTTTAAAAGTATATGGAAATCTTGAAGCTAGCGTAACAGTCATGAACTGGATTATTCATTCTGCTACATTGTGGGGATCCAAAGTAAAATATTTGTTGTGAATTTCGAATTTTTGTTTATGTCTCATTTCATTCAAGTCAAAAAGCTGGCTCCTTTCGTGATGTAATTTAGTCATAGATTTTAAGGTTCTCATTTGATTGTCTGGATTCTCGAGCTTATGCAGAAGAGGAATTGTGTGAAATGTCCGACATTTTGTGCAAATAAGCAGTCGTTTATCTCTTTTACACATGATATTCATCTGTTTGACAGTTTTTTTATAATTGTTGACTCATTGATAAGCTGGGTAGATATGATTACATACGCTTTCACATTTGTAAACACACTTATAATCTCAGGTATTACTGGACTCACCAACTAGTCGAATGGAATGGATTGCTTCTGTGCACATTATATTTGATGAAATTAAAGAACAAGTTTTTCGGCTGCACTTTTTTAAAACTCAGTCGCTGAATATAATCGGATCACGATACAAAGCTCTAGCGGATGAATTCTCTCAAAACAGTATTTTTTTCTAGCAAAGGGAAATGTAATCAAATTTAAAAATTCGTCATAAAAACTGTAACTACAGTCTCCGTTTAGACATTTTTTTGGTGGTTTGCCTGAAACTCCCTTGACTCAGGGTGTCCTAGTGAGTATTGGGATCCACTTTTTTTAGTTATTAATTCAACGAAATATTCAAATTAAAGAAAGAACCGTGAAAATAAAAGTAAAGTTTCTATTTTTTTCACGCCATCTCACTTATTCTTCTGCTGGGTCCTCGAAGATATGGTACCGACACCTTAAATACAACCAAAAAGAGTTGATGTAATTAGATAGTAAGTTCACTGGACTGTATAGACGTAGATATTTTATAACTGCTTACCCCATGACCCATAAACTTGTGAACCTTTCCCTAAGTGTAGAAATGTATATTTTTTCCTATTATTTCATTGGATTACATACTAGACGCTTCAATTAATTATGCAAAATTAAAGCAAGTTTTTGCAATGCGAATCTCCCAGATACCTCAAGTCAATTCTAATTTATTACTTATGTTGTTGCATAGTACTTTGTCCTACTCTTTGAGGTTCTAATACTATTGATTATAATATATGAATATTTATTTTATGAAGGTCTATCAAAACATAATTGTGAACGATCGTGTTAAACCTAAGATCTAAGTTAGCAGCTTAGCATGCATAATGCACAAACATTTAGACACACAGAGTTCTAACCAGGAAAAAATTGGGAAAACTAATTTCAACTCATAAATGGTATTTATTGTCTGATATGTACGAGACATTACATATACTTTAAAACCATCGGATTAGACGATTGACTTTACGAGTTATATACACAGAACACAGGCATACATTTAGGCGTCCTACAATAGTTGTCTTCCTGAACCTTAAGGCGGCATTCGACTCTGTTGATCGTGAGGTTCTGTGGCAGTGTCTGTCATTGAAAGGTGTACCAAGGAAGTACATTAACCTTATACAAGCTCTTTACTCTAAAACTACGGGTTGAGTGACAGCTTATAGCGAACTGTCATCGGAATTCTTTACTTCAAGTGGTGTCCGTCACGGATGTACACATTCTCCGTTCTTGTTCAATTTTGTCATAGACATGCTGCTAGATACAACGTTATCCCCGTCTGACTTTTCAGGAGTTGATTTTCTACCAGGAGACACGCTTGCTGACTTTGAATATGCCGATGACGTAGTCCTATTTGGTGAAGACGCTGACAAAATGCAGTCTTCTGACTACCATAAGCAACAATGCCAGCATGTTTGAAATGTGGTTCTCACCCTCGAAATGCAAAATGTTGCTTCAGGATTGGGTTGCATTGGCACCTGAACTAGTGACAGGGAGTGAAGTAGTCGAACGTGTAGACCGCTTCACTTATCTGGGGAGTCTCATCAGTGCTGATGGCCTGGTGACTGACGAAATCTCAGCTCGGATAAAGAAGGCTCGATTGGCTTTTGCCAACCTGCGTCACTTATGGCGTAGGCGAGATATCCGTTCGCTAACCAAAGGAGGAGTGTACTGTGCAGTAGTTCGCTGTCCTACTATACGGATGCGAAACATGGCCGTTAAGAGAAGAGGACTTTCGTAGGTTACTAGTCTTCGATCATAGGTTTATCCGAAGCATTGCTAGTGTATCCTGGGACGACCGAGTAAGCAATGCTGTCGCTAGGAAACGAGTTCTAGGTAGGGATGGCAAATCAATAAATGAATTAGTGAAACTTCATCAGTTGAAGTGGTTGAGGCATGTGTTACGTATGCCTAACCACCGACTGCCGCGACCGAGCTATGTTTTGTGGTGTAGGAGTAGGTTGGAAGAAAGCTAGGGGCGGCCAAACCAAAACATGGCAGAAATTCATGAAGTCGCTGACAAGTGGACTAAGTCATGTTGGTAGATGTAGGTTACATGGTTGGGGTCGGCGAGACGAAAGTCACCAATGGTTAGAGGCCTTGAACGACATGGCTCAGAATTGTTTGCAATGCCGCAGGTGCATCCACTCTTTGTGTTCCCCCTAATTATAACCTTCTTCATTCCTCATAATCTCTACCTTTATCCTTCTAAATTTATCTTACTAAATTATACTTCTCGAATCATATCTTCGCTCCCTAATCTTCTCCATTGCTGCTAATAATTCTACTATCGCTATCACTCTTGGATTTGAACTGACAGTTACGTCTCTGCGCTGACGTGGTATGGCAACCTGAACTGTTGTACTTATGTACGAAGTTCTGCGTTGTATCTGTCTGTCTGTCTGTTACAGAAGTATCGGTTTTGAAAAGTAGCTTTATTGTAAGAAGTTTAGGTTTTGATAAATCCATTCATTTCAGTGGTTACATATTATATTTGCATTACATCATCAGTACATTATTGATATTACCTTAATACTAAAACCTCAAAAAGCAAAACATTATTTTGAAGGCACGTTATTAAACTATCAATGTTCAACTGAATTAATTCTGAGTATTTTTCTAGAAGAATCTCGACTGTTTTTATTTTCGTCGTAGGTTATTCTCCCTGTCGTTTTACATGTGTCCTTGCGTATTTTTCATATAGTAACAAACTTTTGAAGAATGCACCAAGTCGCTTTAAAACAGATGGTTATTGGAATACAAACTATACGCTATTGGAGTCTTACCCTGCTTACAACGGCTTGTTTTATTGGATTTCTGTCAGTCCATAAACAGGTGATAAGATTCAGCTCATTCCGACTATGTGTGTTGTAAGTTCGATTCATTTAAATGCTATCTACAATTTAATGAAAAACTCAACCATTCATCATAACGTTAACACAAAAATACTGAACACGTTTTTTCCATCAGTAATTAATATAACCGAAATCTTTAACCGTATTTTCAGTTGAATTGTTTTTTAATGCCCAGCAGAGGTGTACAAATGTAAGGGTTTAATTTTATCAGTCTCTATCTACACTTATGCGTTGGTGCTACTATGACATTTTGTCTGTTTTTGAGTAATCGATTACTTTGAAGTTCTGATCATTCATATGAATGATTTATTTTCTCTAACTTCAAAGGTGTTAATTTTCAAGATTATGATCTCGGTTAATTGTTTCTCGATCGGAAAGACAGTTGTTTGTCTGTTAAAGCGTTTAAGTTGAGAATTTTGTAATCCAAACTATAAATATTGGATAAACAGTGCTTTAGTTTGATTCTGAACTTCTGACTGCACAGCTGTAACCTTTCCGATATGCTCATAATCTTAATCTACTCAGTCAGCTAAAATGTACGACTTCGCACGTACGTACATCAGCTGAAGTTGACATACCACATTTGCACAGAGATGCAATTGTCAATTCAAACTCTATGGTGGTAGAGGTAGTAGAAGTATTAGCGGTAATAGGTAGGGGTTCGAAAAAATTATTCAAAAAGTATAACTCAGTGAAATCAATTTAGAAAGAGGTGATCAGAAATTCAGAGAACACAAAAGGTGGATGCAACTGTGCCATTGTAAACGATTTTGAGCCATTTCGTTCAACGTCTCTAACCATCGGTTACTATAGTCTCGCGGACCCCAACAACGTAGTCTGCACTTACCAACATGACCCAGTCCATTTGTCAGTGACTTCATGGATTGAATTAGTGCCATGTTTTGGTTTGGCCGCCCCTAACTTTCTTCCAACCTACTCCTACACCACAAACGTTGCTCGACAAAGCAGTCGGATGAGCATTCACTACTTCATTAATTGATTTGCCATTCTTACCTACTACCGTTTTTCTAACACCAGCACTACTTACTCGATTGTTCTAGGATATACGAGCAATGCTTTTGAGATGGTGGAGAGAATTTATAGCTCAGGTGGATGATTGTGGTGGTGTTTCGTTCTCTGAGCTGGATGTTTTGGTTGTGGAGCTTTCATTGTTCTTCTGAACAATGGAGCAATGCTTCAAAGACACTGATGATCGAATACCAGTAATCTACAAATATCCTCTACTCATACTGGCCATGTTTCACACCCATAGAGTAGGACGGAGTGAACTGCTGTGCAGTAGATTTTTCCTTTGGTTAGCAAACGGACATCTCGCCTACGCCATAAGTGACGCATGTTGCGAAAAGCGAATCGAGCCTTTTGTATCCGTGCTGAGATTTCGTAACAACACACGAGACTAAATTTGTCACAATCAAATCCGTCATAAATCTCACATTTCTTATCTCCATGACTAACGTTCCTTTATCTCATCCCACCACTAAGGCAAACCACTCGAGTTCACCAAACGTTCATCCTGGTTCCTGTGACCTCATTCTAAATTTTATGTTGGAGCTTTCAATCTCCGGACGTTGTCCGATCTTGTTATTATATTTGGACAGTCCTATAGAAAGTAGACACTGAACAAAGTTATCCAAGCATTGAACTAAATTTTTCTGCAGCATAAATAACCGAATTTGTTATCATTTCTCAAAGTACTCATAAATTTCACTAGTTTCGTATTTTACTTTTTGTTATTTAGGTCATAAAGCATATCGTATGCGAAGATCACAGCATCCACCTGATTTCATATATTTTTTCGATAATTATTTTCCTACTCTTACTCCTAATATGTACTAATTATTTTTTCTACAGTGTTAATGATTATTATACATAATGCATATTCTACACAAAATTCTGTCCTGTTTTTTACCACACCTAATTTCTGAATTCAGTTTTTTTGTACAAGCTCGACAAACTGTAAATACTTTTCAGTTGAAAAATGTTTGTTGTAATCATTTTCGTTTATGTTTCATTGATAAAAACGGTCGTTACCGCTAATTTTTAAAGACGTGCTGTATTCATTCTATGGCAATCGGAATATTAAAATAGGATTTGCTCCTTTGAAAGTTAAAAAAGAATTGTGAATTCGATTGTCAGATAAAATTTGTTTTTGCTGCATAACCAGCTAGAAATTGCAATGTACAAGCTATCATTGACAAAACGTTTTTTTAAATTGGTCACATGTAAGTCAATCGACAGTATTATTGCTAAGCGTAATCCCGTTAATTGATTACGTATAAATGATGTTCAATATTTCTAAAATTTAAAAATAACACTGGATCGTTGAATGAATTCGAACAAGACCAATGATTTCTAATATTGTGTTGATGTTAATCAAGATACGTTATGATGCTGCTACAAGATGAATTTGCTCAAGGTAAGACCTTTTGCTTAGCCTCCACATGTTCAAACCGTAGCTTTCTACATAATAGTTTATTCGCCTAAGTACCTGTATTTTAACCACTCGTTTTCAGATTTAATCATTTCACTTAATTTTGAATCAAAGAATGTGGTGATATATGTGTCCTTTATACATTCCAAACTAAGTGCATCCACGCCCTCATTGGACATCTTATACTGCCTTCACTTACGCTCATGTAAAATCAGACAGACAGATACAACGCAGAACTTCGTACATAAGTACAACAGTTCAGGTTGCCATACCACGTCAGCGCAGAGACGTAACTGTCAGTTCAAATCCAAGAGTGATAGCGATAGTAGAATTATTAGCAGCAATGGAGAAGATTAGGGAGCGAAGATATGATTCGAGAAGTATAATTTAGTAAGATAAATTTAGAAGGATAAAGGTAGAGATTATGAGGAATGAAGAAGGTTATAATTAGGGGGAACACAAAGAGTGGATGCACCTGCGGCATTGCAAACAATTCTGAGCCATGTCGTTCAAGGCCTCTAACCATTGGTGACTTTCGTCTCGCCGACCCCAACCATGTAACCTACATCTACCAACATGACTTAGTCCACTTGTCAGCGACTTCATGAATTTCTGCCATGTTTTGGTTTGGCCGCCCCTAGCTTTCTTCCAACCTACTCCTACACCACAAAACATAGCTCGGTCGCGGCAGTCGGTGGTTAGGCATACGTAACACATGCCTCAACCACTTCAACTGATGAAGTTTCACTAATTCATTTATTGATTTGCCATCCCTACCTAGAACTCGTTTCCTAGCGACAGCATTGCTTACTCGGTCGTCCCAGGATACACTAGCAATGCTTCGGATAAACCTATGATCGAAGACTAGTAACCTACGAAAGTCCTCTTCTCTTAACGGCCATGTTTCGCATCCGTATAGTAGGACAGCGAACTACTGCACAGTACACTCCTCCTTTGGTTAGCGAACGGATATCTCGCCTACGCCATAAGTGACGCAGGTTGGCAAAAGCCAATCGAGCCTTCTTTATCCGAGCTGAGATTTCGTCAGTCACCAGGCCATCAGCACTGATGAGACTCCCCAGATAAGTGAAGCGGTCTACACGTTCGACTACTTCACTCCCTGTCACTAGTTCAGGTGCCAATGCAACCCAATCCTGAAGCAACATTTTGCATTTCGAGGGTGAGAACCACATTTCAAACATGCTGGCATTGTTGCTTATGGTAGTCAGAAGACTGCATTTTGTCAGCGTCTTCACCAAATAGGACTACGTCATCGGCATATTCAAAGTCAGCAAGCGTGTCTCCTGGTAGAAAATCAACTCCTGAAAAGTCAGACGGGGATAACGTTGTATCTAGCAGCATGTCTATGACAAAATTGAACAAGAACGGAGAATGTGTACATCCGTGACGGACACCACTTGAAGTAAAGAATTCCGATGACAGTTCGCTATAAGCTGTCACTCAACCCGTAGTTTTAGAGTAAAGAGCTTGTATAAGGTTAATGTACTTCCTTGGTACACCTTTCAATGACAGACACTGCCACAGAACCTCACGATCAACAGAGTCGAATGCCGCCTTAAGGTTCAGGAAGACAACTATTGTAGGACGCCTAATTGTGTGTTTGTGTTCCAGGAGCTATTGTACTGTGAAAATGTATTCTATAAATCTACTTCTCGGTCTTCAACCTGCTCTATTTTCTCTAGTCTGCTCTTCACGAGCACTAGTAAGATGTCTATGTATAATCGAGACAAACGATTTCCAAACTACAGTAGCCAGACGTATTTTCGTGTGATTGTCACAAGCAGAATTTTGTCCTTTCTTATAAATTGGGACAATTATGAATTGAGACCAGTCGGATGGGATAACGTCCAGTTCCTTGATTCTACCTAAGATCACGGTCTATCTAACTGTTAAATCTGGACCACCATCCTTAAAAATCCCAGGGGTAAGCATATCAGGACCTGCTGCTCGCCCTCGCCTCAGATTGCCGGTCGCTTTCTCAACTTCACAAAGACCAGGAGGACTTGAGTTGATTTGCCATTCAGGATGACTGGAGATCGTGGGTAACCGAAGTGTGGCTTGAGGGAAGTTGAACTGATCCATAAATTGTTCTGCCCATCGTTCCACCCTCCTGGGTTGTGAATGAATGATAGTCCCATCCGTTTCCGAAATAGTCTCACTGACATTCAGTTTTCTAATACCGGTTTCCTTGATAAGTTGGTACAATTGTTTTTTGTTGCTTATCGCCGCTGCCTTTTCCATCGCTTTTGCTTTCACCACCCTTCACTGTTCACAGTACTTACGTAGGCTTTTCATCAGCCTGTGCCTAAGCTGACTTCTCTCCTCATCATGTTCAGATCCAGGTGGGATGCGTTTTCGAGCCCTTATCAGTTCGGTGTTTGCTACTGAGATCCACGGCTTCATCCTAGGCTTATTGTTTACCTTACTAGCAGATATCACTGCTGTTTCCACAGCCTTTTTGATATCATTCCAAGCTGCTTTCTGTTGGGAATCACTTACTACATGGTCGCCTAACTGTTTTCCTAGTTGTTCCTGAAATATATTCTTAGCTTTATTATCATTACCTAGAAGCCTAAGATGTTTTCTTGCGGTGTCTTTCCTACGTCCAGTAAGCCTCAAACAGATACGCGCTCACACTAGGGCATGATCTGAATCTAAACATGTGCTCCAGAACGAGCGATAGTCCTCTATCAAACCTCTCCATCGGTGGCTGATGGCGATGTGATCTAGTTGGGTCCAACCCTGAGACGACTTTGGGGGCCGCCAGGTCAAAAGACGTTTTTCCTTATGCCTAGGGTTAGTTTTTGCTAGAAATAGGCGGTTATCTGAGCATAGTTGCAACAGACGGTCGCCATTGTCTGTTCTCTGAGCCGCGACATCATAAGATCTACTCAGGTGTCTTTCATTTTCACTGAGTCTACCTACTTGAGCATTGAAGTCACCAGCCATGATTACTACATCGGGGCGCCTAGCTTTTTGGAGTAGGACCGAAAGCTTTCTGTAGAACTCGTCTTTCACCTCATCTGAACTGCAGTCAGTGGGGCCATAGGCAGATACGACGAAGAGGGGACGACGAGTGTCCCTGTCCTTTCGAATCCTTACTGTCGCGTTTATTCGGACAGTGCACAAGCGACTTTCTTTTGGGATCCAGTCTAGGAGGGCTAGTTCTGCCCTAGGACTCAATTCTAGACCAACACCAGCGAGACCCCTGGAAGCAGCATCAGCGCTACCCGATACATGAAGCGTAAATCGAGCTGCTTCTTTATTTTGATAAGGTGAAATCAGATTAATGATTTTACTACGATCCTGTTTCCGATACACAGCGTACATCGATGGCACGAGATTCTAAAGTCCTAGCTAATGATGTCTGTTGCCCTATTTGACACAATGTCCTTACATTAAATGCTCCAACATGTAGTTTAGAACAGGGCTTCAAGAGACCAGGAATAACGTTTCGTGAACTCAAATCGCCTGCATTAACGATGCAGGGTGACAAATGGATGTAAAAAGGTTGAGTCATGGGGATAAGAGAGGTATTTGGGGGTGTAGGGACTATTTATTTGTGACTAATTTTTTCTCGTGTGCTGTTACGGTTATGAGGAACCTGAAAAAGAACGTAGATTAGTGTTGGTCTTAGAGACCTGGGTGCGTGACCGCAGTGTCCAAGGGACAACTGCATGAGGCCGGTCATGCACGGCCTCTTGATGAAATGCTCTTTTAGTATTGGCTCCGCTCTTAAAAGCTCTTAGTGAACACCCTTGCCGCCGGCGATGGAAATCCGTGAGGTAGGGTGTGGTGTGACATTTTTAGCGTCGACTTTTTCTACTCCCTTCCTTGCTTGTGATAAGGCAGCATCGCTGCAGATGCTGGTTGTCCGAGGAAAACGCCTTAGTGCCTCCACACCCCTCTGCAGTCAGCAGTACGACTTTGCCCTCAGACCTTTAGTAGCTGCTTTTAGTCTCATCATTCTCCAGTCGACCTGCCTGGCATGTTAGAACCTTCAGAACATATGTTCTAGCCAGTATAACTCGGTTGGGTCATAACGAAAGGCACGCCCGACCACCTTGTCAAGGTAGCAGCTACGGTCAGGTCATGTTACATCTGAGATTATTGGTGGATAATTCAAGTATTAAGGTTTGTGATCTCACTTGATTTAAGGGAACATCATTTCTTAGCTGATTTGAGCTTTTACTTACTTTCAGTTTATGCAGCGAATACATTCTAATTCCTCCTGTAAGAATATCCTTGATGAAGGAGAGTTTCCGCTAACACTAATAATTTAGGTAGATTTATTTTACGTGTTCAATAACTTTATTTATGTTTAACTTATTTCTTATATATAATAAGCCAGTATTTCCATTACACCGTTAAATTTCTTATTTTAATAAATAGTATTATTCAATTCGAACGTTTTAAAAAACCCTGTTAACTGAGATAGAGTAATTCAAGGAAATGTAGTATGCAAATCAAGAGGAAACTTACTAGCTTAGTACATGCCTGACAAAATATACTAAAGTAAAAGCGGTAAATTTTACGCATCAAACTGTACATAAAAATGTAAGCCAAACAGTGACCATATCTTTAAATTTTCAGTTTTTTTCTAACTGTTATATTCGTTTATTACTTAATTCTAGCGATTAAATGCAGTATTCAACAGATCTAGATTCGCATTCTAATAGCCATATCATCTGAAAACGAGCAAAAGACGTAATCACATTCGGAAAATAATTAATAAGGATATGATGACTGTAAACACACGTTCAAGAAACCTATTACATGAATGGCGAAATTTCCTACATCAGTTAACAAATCATTTGATTGCTTGCATCTTGGTTCGATGGAAACTCACAAATCGTGTGCCAAATGTTCATATTTTCTAGATTCGTAATAATGTTGTATTGCAATGTATTTTATTTTTATCACTGATTTTCATTTTATGTATCATATATATACATAATAAGGCTGTTTTAACCAACTCAACTAAATGAAGCACACATCTACCACAAACTGATCAAAAACAATTCACAAATATAAATACATCACTTCGTCAATTGATTTGTGTTATCTTTTGTTGTTCTAGTTTAAAATGACTATTTGTCATAAATTGTAAATGTCGTTCAAGTCTATTTTCTAGTAAAATTTAAAAAACGTTAATTTTCGTTTCTTCATTTTCGATTTTTTCTAAAATATTTTCATTCAAAGATGATTTGAACTTTCAATATGCTTACATTTCATACTACCGAGTGTTTGACTGAGTTAGTAGAAATAAAACGTTAAACCTATGTATGATATTGAAAAAAGATTGTAGTCGATTATTAGCTAAGCTGAAAAAAACAGAAAAAAATCTACTTCTGTTGAACTTGTATGAATTATAACGTGTAATTAACAAGCTAGAAAAATTCTGCAAGTAATCTTCATGTTTCTAGTAAATTATAAAAAATAATTGTATGCGATTTATGGAAATCACTGTTCAATGTTGAACTCAACAATATTAGTGTCGATATATTTTCTATGAATAAAAACTTGAGCCATGTAATTTAGTTTTAGCAAAATAATGATATGATTTTAAACAAAATTCATGAAACAAACCGAATCACTAATGAGAAAATGTATACTATTCATTTTTGTATCACTCACACAGACACAATGGACGAATATAAAATAAAAACAACTGTCTCATTTGGATCTTTACTGTCTTGGTTTTAATAGACGAACAACTTCAATCTTCGTATATATTACCCTAATATATTTTCAGAAAGGTTTTTTACAGGAAAAATCAACTTAACAGGTAGTAGGATAACACTACACAATATTCAAGGATCTGGCGAAATCAAATTATTACACAGAATGAAAACAGTCTTCAATTCTACGAATAAAGTTACATACAATATTTTCCCACTTTGATTAGATATGTATAAGGCCTTTACAAAATGGACACTTATTTTTTAACATTGTGAAAGGTTTTATTCCTGTATTGCTTTCATCTTGGTTCTACGTAAACTTGTCAATGGTATGCCCAAATTTGCATATATTCTTATTGGTTAATGTTTCGTATTTATTCACTCTAAGAATATAAATCACATATAATATGCCATGAAACGGTGTCATCAAAATACCACAGAACATCAGTAAAGTTTTCTTTTTTCCTTCTATGCTTTGCATGAATAGTATTGTCTCTAGAAATAATCACTTTACGGGCATTCACTATTAAATGCAATACATTTCTATAAATATAATTATGTTTTAGGTAAATAACAATATGTGCACATGCATAATTCACTGATCTATGTTTATAATTTGGTGAGTAATTATTTGTTTGGGTATTCAATTTAGCGGAAAGTCATTGACTACAATTGTTAGTCCGTACCTTCTGGCTATTTCGTTTCAAGGACAGACGTATGAATTATAATTAACTAAAATTAAAACAGTGGGTTTTTCAATACAGATAATACAATCTAACGAAACCCAAGGTCGTAAAACGTACTAATTTGTAATATTCTTTCTATTTTCAAAGTTTTGGCCTAATCAACTCTTATATCTAACGGTTTTTGGCACTCACTCATCATTTTTAATATCTGTGCTAAAGAAAACATCCTTCATTTAGTCTCTAGATGGACACTTCTGAAAAGTACCAAACTTGCTGACAGACATATTTCATAGTTCATAAACCGCAGTTTTATGATCGTTCTGCGGAATAAACCCCCTTACCAGTAAAAAACATTTCATTTACTATTCCTCAACAGTCAAATTACACTGACAAATGAGTTATTTAGTTATACTAAATGGAGTACATCCAGATTTTTATTCTATATGACGACAAAATTGAACTTAACACAAAGCGAAATTTCACGTCATATAGCAGCTATTTGATCTAAATGCTCCATATCTTGGGAAAAACAAATTATTGAATGCCTTTTTCAAAACACTGGAAATCATTTGTCGATATCTAAGTGAATTTTCAAATGAAAAAAGCTCTACTCTACTGAGTTTGTTTATAATGACGTTTTGCATAGTCCAATCACGTAAATCCTTGTTCTGAATTTTGATCACAGAGTTATATGTCTTCTATCAGAACAAACCAAAAAACCTACAAGGAAAACTATTATTGGTCTAAAATAATTCAAATAAACAAGTTTCCTAATTTGTTACAACCGTATTAGATTTTTAAAGAGGAATTTAAGTAAGAAATCTCTAAATTTTTATTCTGAAAGTAATTTACAATAAATGAATATTTTCTAAATATTTTGCAAATCCAATCATGAGGTGGGTCAGGTTTTTTCGTTGAAATCCTAAAAGATTAGTTTGTATTATGATAATTTTATTTCATACATAATCTGGAAGCACCAGTCATCTATATTATTAAATTTTTCATGTAATAGTAACAGTTGTGTGTAGCTCTGCTTCGAGAAAAGAAGTCTGTTTATGTGCATAAATTAACAGCTTTAGCTGTAGGAATTTTCCTTCTAATTCACTAAAGTGTACTTGTTTCAAAGCGATAACTAGTTGAACTGGCTTCATAGGTTTTTTTATAGGGCTGGTTTATGAGGTTCCCTATCAAAATACTGGGTATTTTTTTTTAGCTTGTACTGATTGTAATCTACTTCAAATGATGAAAGAACTAATAAAAGAGCTCAGTGGGCTCTTTAAAAGAACCGAACTATTCATAATGTGCAATTTTCTTATATTTATCAACGATTCATTAAGTTGTTATTGGATACTTCAGATTTGCTTTTAGAGAACCATAGTGTTACAACAAAATTTGGTAATAATACGATATGATATACCGAATGTTTGGACGATCTTTGAGGGAGAAACCCATTTTTCTTTCTGCAGCTTTAGAATTGTTGAAATATAAAACATTAATTTCAATATTTAACAATCCTAGTTTTATAAAGTATGTAATGACTTCTAAAATATACTTCTAGTCAAAATGTTAGAGTTAAAAGCTATCTATGCAAAGGAAATCAAGTTGTAGGACACAATTTTCTTTCCTGAAGATTATCCTAAATTCTAAAACTGTTTTGAAAATCTTAAACTTGCCAAAAAATTATTAATATGTCATACATATTTAGTAAAAATTAACGTTACATAGGAGATGCATGTTAAGCTAGATATTTTAATATCGAAATCATGAATTGTTGATACCAGAGTTTTTTATGTTGGCCCTATTCATACTATTATAATATCATCGTGATCAGAGTGATGCTTTATTTAATGACTGTGTACATTTAATGAACTTTGTTCAATCAAAAATAATGTATCTGATGTCTTAAATTTATATTTGGTAAGAGCATCAGTATTAATTTACCTAATCTAGTTCTTTGTGAAACTCTTTTTGTAATCGAAAGCATTGACCAAGATTACTTGACTAGGACATATGCACCAAGAATGTAACGTAAATAGGATGTATCGTGATTTAGGAAACTCTAAAATTAATGCAGAGTTTAATGTGAGTTAATGGTCAGTGATCGATTTTTAAATATCGAAATACAAACCTTGGTTCTGGAAGTCTTTCCAATCGACATCAGTCGATCAAAATCAGCAGAAACTAAATTAAATTTTACATTATTTGCTAAATTGCGGTTTCTATTTATAACAATCTTTATCAGTCGAAAAGTTTAAGTAATCTATTCTGGATTTCCAGATTTCTCAGCTTTTCGTATCAGCTATTGGGCATTTTTTAAAATATCTCTAGCTTGTTTTCTTGAAAGAATAGATCGAGAACAATAGCTACGCACAAAATAAATCAATAATTGCTTCTTCCTAGTTTTTTATTTTTCAAATAATTCAGTATTTTGTATAAGCTAAATGATCACTAGTTCAGTTATCCATTACTTACTTTCACATGTTAATCGAAAATGACACAATTTAAGTCAAGTAGCACAGATATTGGTAAACCTATTGATCGAATACGACAGGAAGCATTTCTGTCAACTTGTCAGTCTATTAATGAAGATTTCAAATGTTTGATTATTAAAAGGACAGCTACGAAAAGACACGAAAGGTAGGAACTGGGTGGTGATATGAATACCCCACCTGCGAAGAACACGAACCTTATCCGTAGTAGTAATACATATCACCGATTACATCACACTGACGGGTATTTTGAAGAAAAAAATTGGCACCCTATTTAACATACGTCTTTCAATTAACATTGTAGACCATATGCAACATTTTCAACAGTTTGTTAAATATTTTACTGAAACGAATGATCACAAATACGTAGTAATGATATCTGAATTCTATGACAGTTTAAATCAAAATTAGAAGTTTCTTTATATCTTCAAAAGAGTGCCGTCATATCATTGCTGATTCCACAATCACTGAGCGACTAAATTTGAAATACGATTCATCTTGAAAAAATAAGCTTAACCAGTACTGTACATTCATAGGAAACTGATGTTTTGCATAAATATTTTGAAGTCAGATAGCTTTTTTATGATGTGATATGAACAAATAACACAATTATTAGAAAATTTTCTCCTATAAACTTACTGCACCACAACTAGTAAAGTGCATCCCTTCTGTAGCGTGAAATCTAATTTTTAAACTTTTATGGAAGTTATGAACAAAGTTCTGATAAGAAGCGGAAATGGAAATTCTTGCACCATTTGTAATATCATAGATCTTATGAATGTGACAGAAAATCTTTAATATAGAGGCTTGGGTTAACTAAAACATTTTGAGAAGGTTAAATGAGAAAGACTCCGAAAGGAGTGTTTCATCATTTGAAAAACTAACTGATATGTGCCATGGATAATTAAGATTAGGCAAAAGGTTGTTAAGGATATATTAATGTCATTGTGAATACCGCGGCCACCGTAAATTTTGAAATTAATTCAAACAACTAAGCAGATCTTGAAGCTCACTAAGAATTATCTGACATCATGTTGATAGTCTTTAACGTTTTTATGATAAATCTTGTTAAGTTCTAATAGAATTTCAGTCACATTCTATTTTCATAATGTCGATTCACAGTATATTGCATTGTAGATTGCTAGTGATGTAAATTGACAATTGAGGAAAGTTCTTATTTCAATTAAACTGTTTTCATCACAATGTAGTCTTAATATATAGTATTAACGGATTATAATTAATACTACCATGGTTGGGCATTTCTGTAAACTTATTTCGATTATTAGTTATTAAATATTAGCTGATAATAAATAATTAATGAAAAAAAGCATTTCTATTTTATCACAAAAATCAGACCTTAATCACTTTTTACCACTCAAAAATATTCACTAAGAATAATCTTAACAAATATCAGGCCGTTAGTCAAGGCAACAGTCACTAAAGAGACACATACGGGTAAGCTCAAAAGTTTCATATCGAAGATCATTTGTATTTTCATAGTTAACTGTCACTAGTCTGTGTTGTTGTGTGTGCACTAGTATTTTGATATAAGACATGCTTATAATGAATTTTTAGACACTATTTAGTATTTACCATACTTTTCAAATTACTGAACACAAAATGTTTGATTATGAACAATAATATTATCTTGAAATTCTGTATGTCATGAAAGAATATTGAAATAAGTGTAGGCCTATTGGTGGTAATGATTAGTTAATGTGACAATTATTTTGCATAGTTCAGTTAATTTCTTTCTTTTTTTTTTTGTCGTCGTGCTTGATTTGCATATTCTGTCATTGAGTTCAGCACTGACTAAACTAGGTCATACAAATTCACTGTGTTACTCATTCAACCGAACTAACTCTACAAAAATAAAACATAAATAAAAGTCTATCATGATAGTCCTATTAGAAATTTCTAACGGAATGCTAAGCCCAAATTTATCGGATAACTCAAAACACTTGTATTTCATACAAAATAGCTAGGGTTGAATTTAGTTCACATCAAAAAGTTTATTATTACTTTTCCCGGTCTTTCAATTGTTTTATACTTGATATTGTTAAAAATTAGTGTGAATGGAAAATGCTGACTGACCTATAATTCTTGCATTACAGTTTGCTCATTCATTATTCTTAACATTTATGCACACTTATAGTCGTTTGAAATGGGGACAATATATTTATTTTTAAAAAAAAAATACGTCTCAAGTTTATCCGATCCACCACAAGGGAATAATTAAGTTTATTAGATTTTTGTAAAATTGATCAGGTAGGAAATTTGATTCGGCTGTTCTGAAGGTGTTAATCTGATGAATAAAAAGAAAGTTTATATAATTCGCATCAGGTAAAACCATATTACATTGATTTATTCAATATTTGTTATAGGGATCAGCATCAACAACTTTACTGTTGACAAATTCATGTTATTATTGTGTTTTTTTTAAACAACACAAACACTTAGAGGATCTTAAATAAAAACACCGAAAAATGGTTTATAACTTCATCAATGAGTAACATCAAGATCATTTCTGTCAGTAAAAAATAAAATGTACTCGTTGAAAATCAAAGTGTAACATATACGTACGTTGGCATGCTAGTTTAAAAGGTATATTAACTCCAATTTACGCCAGTATTTACAACAACGAATGTCCAAACAGGGAATAATGTCAGAATTGATTTTATTGGAATCTACATTTATATGATAATAATAATAATATATGTATCAGAATGCATTAGATACTTCACGCATTTCCGTTTTCTCGATCAATTTGGATTAAGTAAGCAGAACACATCTAGAATATGATAAATTAATCATAGAGATATAACGCTAGGATTTCTCTCTAAACTTGATACCCAGCCAACACTAGTCTGACCATAACGTGTATTCTTGCAGAATCAACAACCAACAATTAATATTGGTATAATGGGTGAATGAATTTATGTGACATATCAAATACCAATCAGACTATCTATTAGTGTTTATGCGAATAGCCTGTCACAATTTTCCTTCGCACAAACAATATAATTTTCATTTCTCTTTCACTTTAAATAAACCTATAAAATTCTAGTTCATTTGAAACTTGATGCTTTTAAAGCAAACGAAACTAATTCTTCAAGACATCGTAGGTAAATCAGGTTTTTTCAAAACTATATCCAACTCATTATTCAGACCATATCGAATTGATGAGAAGGGATAGTATAAAATGATGAATGTTTGAAATAAGGTGAACTCTATTATTATTTTACTAACTCAACTATCTATCCACAGTTAAAACTGTCTACCTGAGAAAAACAACATCTCGATCCAATGTATATTCGAGCAACATGAGAGTCACCTCATAAACAGGTCAACATCGTGCTCTTTACTATGACCCTTTACTTAACGTTACATACTAATAACGAAGGTTT